CCCCCCCTTGCAGTTAAGTCACCTTGAACGTGTAGGTCATCCCATGGCTTTATTTCACATGTGCCACACTGTAGTGCAATTATAATAAACGCAAAACTGTAGTAACATCTGCAAACAGCCTCTGTGTTGCTTTAGGGATTATAATGCAACATCCGTTTGTACAGCAGAATAAATTGCTATTGCTTCGTAACCCCATCGTTTGTATTGTTGTATACAAAGTTTCAGAGCATGTTGAAAGAACCAGCATATTAAGTGATTAAACTTTGATGGTGGGTGTGAGAACTTTGATTTATGCAATGCGTACATTTCTTTTTGAGAGAGTCATAATTTGTCTATTTTTACACAAACCTTTTGGATGAAGACTGTCTGCATCTCATGTATTTCTCAGAGCTGGCTTGTACCTTCATCCTGAAGTTGCAAGATGTTTTGGCCTCTCTGAGAAGTGCTGAGAACTTTCAGTCCCCCTCAGCTGCTGAAAACACACAAAAAAGTTGAAGTTTTTCACAACATCCTGGGCCCCATCCTAAGCCTACATCAAATCATCTCCCAGTCAGGAGAGACCTCACATCCTATATATATATATTTATCAACTCTTGATCCTTTGGTTGTATTTTAGGCATCAGTTCAATAATTTTCTTTTAAAGTAGCACAGCAGAATTTATGAACCAGCTTCCTCTTACAGAGCCAGGTAAAACAACCAGCTCAGCAAGCTCGGGTTTAAGGTCAACATCTCTTTGCCAAGCAGGTGATACTGCAGAGGTTATTTGCTGTTAATTAAGAAGGATTGGTAGAAGTTCAGTTCTATCTATGCTGAAAAGGTTTTAGGACAACACCTTCAAGTCAGTCAAAAGCACTTCTGTGTCAATGTATTTCTTATAAAATAAGGAAAGGGAGAAAAAAATTTATTTATTATTTTTTTTAAATAAATACATACATGATGAAGATTCCTTGCCCTTGGCTGGGTGGCAAAGCTGGGGCAACACTCTTCTCTAGCTCTGCTTCAATGAACTGAGGGTAGGTCTGAGAGAGAACCTGAAAAGCACATCTTGCTCAGTCAGCACTGGGCGCATTCTGCCAAGCAAATCTCGTCAGATTATCTCTTTACAAAAAAAGCAGGTATTTATTTTTTGTTGCATTCTGGCAGGGAAAAATCCCAACATTTGGCATCATGGCACTGCACAGATTCAGCAGCACAAAGAAATACCTGATGCAAATGCTTCTTACAAATAGAATATTTTCTTAGTGAACAGTGAGAAGAATAACTTGACACATAACCACAGTCTGAATGAATCCCTTGCAAAAAAAATGGCTTTGTTAAATGCAACATCTCTCAGAAGTACTGTTGGTAGAAGTGCCATGAAATTTGCAACAGTTCTTACCATGGTTCCTCCATAACTTGCAAAATCCTCTCCAAGTGAAATCCAGAGTTCAGATTTCAGTCAGGATTATTTTTTTTTTCAGCAAAACAGCAGGA